TGATGAATCCAACTCAGCGTGCTGCGAATTTTGGCCCCTTCTGCCTCAAGGCTTTGCATATGATGTTCCCCCTTCCTGAAAGCCAGTTGCCGCCGCCCATCCTCAGGTCTTATGAACTCACCCTTCATGTATCAAATCCATGGTCATTTCCCTTCTGTCTACACTGTCATCAGGGCAAATCCATTTTATAGAGTCAAAATCTTGTACAATTTTGAAGGCCCTTTTTCAGAAATAAGTATAAAAATTATTGATTTGAAATTAGAGATCCACATAATTAGGGCCCTTTTTAGGACCCTGGAAAGGGCCTGGGCAAGTGAGAGACTAAAGCTTAAGCATCATTAGCTTCGCAGTGAACCTGCTGTCTCTGGCTGGCAGACTATGTGTATATTTGCCTTCAGAGCCCTCATCGCAGTATGGAATCACATGTTTGTGTGGTTGATTCTTGTCCACTCCCCACTGGATTATAAGCCCTTCGAGGGTAGAAACTGTGTCTATTTTGTTTACCATTGTACTCCAGTGTTTACCGCCTGGCACAAGAGGTCTTCAGTAAATGTGATTTGAATAAATTCTTAATTTTGAATAGTAATAATAATAAATCTATTAGCTCCCACTCACTGAGAGTCTCTGCTACGAGGAACCCCAGATTTCAGTTCTGAGGGTCCAGAGTATGTTGGGATCCTCACCCTGTGAAAATGCAGCAGAGAAAGTAACCAAGGGTACTTGAAGGTAATGGGAGATTCAAGTTGGGGGTGACTGTGAGTCATGGATGTGGCTTCTAATTCTTACTGTGGACAGCATGGTGTCTGTGGAATAAACATGACTTCATGAGTGGTAGGAAAGCCCCCCCACCCCAACTACTCCTTTATAAAAGGGGACTATTCTAAAGCTGCTGCCTCTTGATTTTCCTTGCTAGGAAATAGAGAACCCTTCCTCATATACACACCTCTTACAGCTATATTCTTATTTGGTGTCCCAAGTGATATTTGGCAATGTCTGGGGACATTTTTGTTGTCACAATTATGGGGGTACCGTTAGCTTCTAGTGGCAAGAGGCCATGGATGTTCTAAGCACTCCGAATGCACAGGATAACCCCATATAGCAAAGAATTATCCAGCCCAGAGTGTCAATATCGCCAAGGTTGAGAAATCCTGCCTTAAATCCACAGGCTCCCTCTCATCATTTTTTGGGACACTGCAACTGTTTGTAGGTTGGAGTTTGTTTCCCCCTTTTCCTCTGATTTCTCTACTCCACATGGAAGATTGTGGCAGTGTAGCTCTGAGGATAAGGCAGAAGATATTCACCATAGTAAAAGTCACACAATCTCAATAATATGTTCAGTTTATTGAAAATAAAACTAGTATTTGTTGTAAGGGGCACTGTTTTCAGCCAGTGACTCATATTGAAACGCCGATTCTGAGGCAGGTCTGCAGTGGGGCCTGAGAGTCTTCATTTCTTGCTGGCTCCCAGCAGGTGCAAACATTGCTGTTCTGGGAGTTCAGTTTCTGTAGCAAATTTCTAGGCATTTGGGATATATCAGCAAACAAAACAAAGATTCTCTGCCCCTGGAGAGCTTTCAGTCTGGCTGTACATGCACTGGATCCAAAGAAGGCTGGCTAGGCTGAAGCCAGAGGAACTCATAGTCTTAGGAAACCAGAACTAGCAGATAATTTAGAGGTGTCTGATTAAACCTCCCACTTCACAGGCAGGGAAACGATGACTAACAGTGGGGAAGGGAGTTAGTGAAAGTCACACAGCTTGCTGTGGCAGCTTTTGGACAAGGCTGTCTGATTTCCTATTCCCCTGAATTGTCAGGGTCCTGACCTCTTGGAGGGCAGAGTTCATTTAGGCTGAGGAATGGCTGGCAGCTTTAGTGGTTGCAGGGATGGAAATCTGCTTCCCACCCGAACTTGCTGGATCCAGAAAAATCTGATTTTCTACTTCATTCATATATTTCATGACACACATGTGAACACCGGTATGTTTTGAGGGGGATAATGGATTCTTCCTAACAGGCCCTTTGTTTTTCTGCATGACCAAACCCAGAGCAAGGATGAACCAGAGTAAAACTATGGAGAAGTAAATTCTGAATGCATTCAGTCATGTGGTCAGCAAGTTTAAAGAGTAAACCCGGATCGATCCAAGATGGCCGACCACTAACAGCTCAGGATTGTAGCTCCCAGTGAAAGCCCAGAGAACGAGACGACGCCACATTTTTAGACAAATTTTCGTCACTCACTGATCAGCTGATTCCCAGTGGAGGAGCCCCACGGGTCGCCAGCGCGACTCTTGTGGCCGCCGCAGCGGTTTTGCCGGCGTCTCGGCGCAGCAGCTCTTCATGCAGAGCCAACGGGACTGCTTCCCCTACTGACTGGAGTTTGGAGCTCCGGGAAGTCAGAGCCGCTTGTTGCGGACTCAAGAGGGAAGCCAGACCAGAGATTCCCGGGCAGAAGAGCACCATCAGTCTTACCGCTGCTATTTAGGCTGCCACAGTGGGTTGCTCGGATCCCAACACTGGGAATCAATAAGTCAGACGTCGACTCAGAAAACTAATTAGAAAGGCGGTTCATCTACAATGAAGGGAAAAAAACAGCCTAAGAAGGCCGAGTATACTCAAGGTCAGAACCCATCAGCAACGGAACAAGCCCTGATGGAAAAGGACTCATCAGCAACCGAACAAGCCCTGATGGAAAAGGACTCATCAGTAACGGAACAAGCCCTGATGGAAAAGGACTGTGTTCCATTATCTGAAGTAGGCTTTAAAAGGTGGATGATAAGAAACTTCTGGGAGTTAAAGGAACTCGTTCTAACCCAATGTAAAGAAACTAAGAACTTGGAAAAAAGGTTAGATGAAATGTTGAAAAGAATAGACAATATAGAGAGGAATACAAATGAACTTATGGAGTTGAAAAATACAACACGAGAACTTAGTGAAAAATGTACAAGCTTAAACAGCCGAATGGATCAAGCAGAAGAAAGGGTATCAGAGGTCGAAGATCAACTTAATGAAACAAAACAACAAGACAAGAATAGAGAAAAAAGGATAAAAAGGAATGAGCAAAGTCTCCAAGCAATATGGGACTATGTGAAAAGCCCTAATATACGCTTGATTGGTGTACCCGAATGTGACGGAGAGAATGAAGTCAAGCTGGAAAATACTCTCCAGGACATTATCCAGGAAAATTTTCCTAATTTAGCAAAGCAGGACACTATTCAACCCCAGGCAATACAGAGAACACCACATAGATATTCCTCAAGAAGACCAACCCCAAGGCACATAATCGTTAGATTCACCAAGATCGAAACGAAGGAGAAAATATTAAGGGCAGCCAGAGAGAAAGATCAAGTTACCCATAAAGGTAAGCCTATTAGGCTTACAGCAGATCTCTCAATGGAAACCCTACAAGCTAGAAGAGAGTGGGGGCCAATATTCAATATACTTAATCAACAGAACTTTCAGCCCAGAATTTCATATCCTGCCAATTTAAGCTTTACATTTGAAGGAAAAATAAAATCTTTTATGAACAAGCAAGTACTCAGAGATTTTATTACCACCAGGCCTGCTTTACAAGAACTTCTAAAAGAAGCACTATACACAGAAAGGAACAACCAGTATGACCCTTTCTAAAAATACACCAAAAAGTAAAGAGCATTAACATAAAGAAGAATTTTTATCAATGAAAGGACAAAATAGCCAGTTAATATCAAATGGCAGCAACCCTAAATTTAAATCGACCAAATCTCCCAATCAAAAGATACAGACAAAATCTAACGGTATATCCAAAGATATACATAGACTCAAAATAAAGGGTTGGAAAAAAAAAACGTACCAACCAAATGGAGAGCAAAAATAAATAAATAAAAAGCAGGAGTTGCAATTTTCACATTTGACAAAATAGATTTCAAAGCTACAAGGATAAAAGGATTAATGTAATAATAAGAGATCTTAACACCCAGATACGTAAGACCCATAATGAGATTTAGATTCAACGAGACAGAAAATTGATAACGATATCCGGGACTGGAACTAAGATCTAGAACAAATAAACTCAATAGAGCTCTCCATTTTAAACACACAAAATATACATTATCCACAAAATCTAACGATATATCTAAAGATATACAAAGACTCAAAACAAGGGGATGGAAAAAAACGAACCAAATGGAGAGCAAAAATAAATAAATAAAAAGCAGGAGTTGCAATTCTCACACTTAATAAAATAGATTTCAAAGCTACAAGGATGCAAGGGTAAAAGGATTAATGCAACAATAAGAGATCTTAACACCCAGATACATAAGACACATAATGAGATTTAGATTCAACGAGACAACAAATTGATAACGATATCCAGGACTTGAACTCAGAGCCAGAACAAATAAACACAATAGAGGTCTCCATTTTAAACACATAAAATATGCATTAACCACTTTAAACACTCAAAATATTAATCGGCCATTATTGAAACTCATTTTAGGAATGAAGTAATATTCCTTTTTCCCTCTTTTTCTTTTTTTCCCCTAAAAAAAAAAAAAAAAGAAAAAAAAAAGTTTCTCCCCGAGGCTAGCCATACAAACTAGAATCCCTCTTCCCAAGGCAGGTCATAGAAACCAGAACCCCTTTTTCCGCAAACCAGCTATTAAACCTAAACCAAAAAAAAAAAAAAAAAAAAAAAAAAGAGTAAACCCAAACAGAGTTAGGTCAATCAAAACCTTTCCCTAATTTGGGAGTGGAATGACAAATCCTGTGTGCACAAGGCCCCTGTTCTAATATTTCAGAGGCCCACCTGAAAAAGCTATCGACTCAGCGCCTTCTTTTAGAAAGCCATTTGCGTGGCACTGAAAAGCAGTTGCTTCCTCCATTCCTACTACCTGGAAACACACACTTTTAAATTCATGCCAGTTCAGTTGCAATAGTAGCAAGTTTCATGGAGCAGCTGAAAAGAAGAGAAACAGCTGGGACATCAGGCATTAATAATGTAACAAAGGAAGAAACTTTTCATTAGTACTTTTTGATGTCAATTTATTATTTATCTCTTTGCCAATATTCAAACAGACAGGCAGTCATAAAACATTAAAAAAGATCCTTTAAAACAGTCAGGCATCTGTTTTACCTCAGTTCCTTTTTAGAAACCTGGAAATCAGGAGCCCCGGCTTTTATACTACAGCAAGTTTGATCCTTGCCATATGAAAAATACTGCTTGAGGATCACTATGTAGACAGAGTTTTGTTTAAATTTTATGAAGGGCTGGTTAGTCAGGCAGACAATGGTTTGTAAGACAAGATTCAGTGTAAATCAGCAATGTGCTGTTTCCAACTGTTTGACTCCTCAGTTCATATTCTGAAACCAGGGCATTGACAAAACCCACTGTTCGGTAATTAGCATCCTGTCAAATCTCTCCAATCAAGACTAGCATGCTGCACCTGGTCCTAGTTAAAAAATGCATTGTGGGCAATTCTGATCTGACCCTCAGGGGCCCCTGCCTTGCTCAGAACTGCATTCAGTGTGCATGCCATAATTACCATCCACACAAAATTAGTAGGCCTCCTTGGTCCAGCAGCTCAGAGATTCTGCCTAATCCTAATGACCTGCCACACCACTTTGTTGATAAATGTCCATCCTTGCGATTTAGACCTTTCCTCTCCCACAAAGAAGGATCTCTTCCTGGGACAGAAGACTCCTCGGAAGTAGAATCATTGTAGAAATCAATAATTGAAAAATGGAGAAGCAAAAACCAAAGTCAAACAGAAACCTTAACAGCCCTCTCCCCAGCAGGAGCTTGGTGGAGGAGGTGTGGGTGCCGAGTCCCCCTCCCTAGCTTGTCTTTCCCTCAGTGCTCTGGGTGCTTCTGCCTTTCCAGGCACTGTCCTTGGTGTAGAGGCCATGGTCCTTGATGTAGGTGATGACAGCATCGGGGATCAGGTACTTCACACTCTGCCCTTGGCTCAAGGCTCGCCTGATGTACGTGGCACTGATCTCATTCTGCACAGACTCCTTGGCCAGGTGAATGTTGTGCTGGTGCATCCGTAGGATGGGAGATTCTGAGATGTACCCTTTTGGGTCATGACCCACCCGGCCCACGCAGACCAAGCCAAACTTCTCCACTATTTCCTGGATGTGCGCGTCCTTCCAGAGGTTGGGGGTGTGGAAGGTCTTCAAGACGTCTGCCCCGCAGAGAAGCTTCAGCTCAGGCACAGCTGCAAAAATAAGGGTAGACTCAGTAAAGTTACAGAAGGGTCACTGCCAGGAAAGACAATATCACATTCTGTTGGAAAATCTCACAAAATGCTTTTCTTGGAATGTATCGAGAACTCAGTGTCTCCATGTTCATGACTTGAAAAGCAACAGTATGTAAACAAATCTGCAGCTATTTCAGGGAATACAGTTATAATTAATGATTTAATCAACACATCTTTTGTTTAATATTGGAAAAGTGCCAAGTAATACACAAAATATTTTTTCAGTGTTCTAACATCAGTCTGTCTGTGGTTGCTTTGGACCAAAGCAGAGTGCTCTAAAGGTGACTGTGCTGTACCCAGTCCTGTGTCTTCTGATGGAAGGTAAGGTTCTGAGAGCTCTGAGACCAACAAGCAGTGGGCTGTGGACAAGTCACTGCCCTATTTGAAATCCATTGCAGCCCTTGTATTACTAGGAACTAGTACCTGGCACTTTTATATAAAAATCTCATTATAAAGATTAATTATAAAGGCTCTTTGGATAACTAAAAGGTCTTAAAACTCCAGCTGGTGGCCTTTTCATTGCAGTTTCCAATAAAACAAAGCTCTAGAACAACGATTAATGTGGATAATCCTTTGGAATGTGTTCTAACAGAATGCTACTTGTGATAATAAAATAATACCTAACATGTATTGGGAGCTTACTATGGGGACTACTACTAAGCTCTTTATGTGTATAATACCATATGTACCCCAGAACAACTTACGAGGTGAGTGTTGTTGTGCCCATTCTGTGGAGGGGGAAAAGGAGGCAGAGAGAGGTAAGTGATTTGCCTCAGGTCACTCACTAGGCGGAGGTCAGGAGTCCAACCTGGCAGCTATCCTCTAGGTGGCGCATTTGTAACTGCTGGGTTCTGCTGCTCCCTGCTGGTGGGAGTCTGTACTTGCAGCATACTGGAGAAGCCCTTTCTAGAGACCCAGGCTGATTTTCCGGGCACTATCCGTGTCCCTCTTGGTGAGCTAATCTGCAAAGGAAATGCAAATCCATGCTGGAAACAAGCTGCAGAGTCTCCAGGGCCACAATACTGGGGAAACCTTGATGTAAATGGTCAGTTTAGGATCCTCTAAGGCGGAACCTTTGAAGGAATCCAAACATGGACCAGAGAGATGAGTTCACACAAAAGCACTGGAGCGACTTTGGACTGGAAAGTGAGAGACTGGAGGTGTCCTGGAGAGGTCTGAGTCCTGGCTTCAATTGGGCACAGGCTGCTTTGGGGCTGGAGCCAAGACCTTTCTTTCTCTGTGTCTCAGTTTCCCCAACCATGAGATGATGTGCTCTGGACTCATTTAAAGCAACATATGAAATCACAGAAACACACTTTCCAAATGCTTTAGCAGCATAATATTGGTATAGTAAATGGTTTTCAAACATTCCTTCACTCATGCACATATGAACTCTTAGTGGTTACAAACTAAGACTCTAGAGCCAGACACCTTACATCCAAATGCTGGTTCTGCCATTCAATACGTATGTGATCTCAACTTTAGAATGAGGATATTGCCCTTCATTTATTCATTCATTCACTTATCCATTTACCCATTTATCTACCACTCTATTCATATAAACTTCCACTCAACATTTATGAATTATCTCCTAGTGTCTGGCCTTTTAAAATCAATAAAACTGCATTTAACAATTATTCAGTAACTCACACTTTTCACTAATTTGGGCTGGTCCCATTGCTCACAGCATATATGTGTATTTGAACTGTTCTGCATCTGTGAAATTTTACTCTAATTTCTTATCTATCCAACCAGTGTAGTATAAAGGAGAACAGTGTTTGGTCTTTCAAATAGTTAGGTAGTTTTATGTGGTCTTCCTGTGGGGGAGGTACTACGAAGCGGACTTCATTCCAGGGTCTGCTGGGCCTGGGACACATCCCCTCTCTTCCTACAGGTCAGAGAACAGAGAAGATACTACCTTTTTTTTCCAATAGATTTTTTTGTGTGGGGACAATTTCTACATGTCAGTTTCAATATTCAGTACTGTTTGATTCATTAACAGTGACAGTAAGGAATACTATTCACTTTGGGCCTTGCCTAGAGGGAACAAGCGCCCACACCGCCTCTGCCTCCCAAATCAAAGGCACGTGCGTCTTTGAGGCTGGTGGCACCTGTTATTCCATGGCACCAATACCATGTGATAGGTTACTTCTTGTGCAACATGGGCCTCAGACCTCCACCTCCTGGCAGTCCTGTCTTCGGGGCTCACAAAGGCATTCACACATCTCCAAATCCATTTACAACATGGTTACAAAATTTTTAGACTGAGTGACTCTATCCATGTCCAAAGTATGTGACTCCAGGGTGTAGTATAAAGGTTGTCAATATGATTTCTCCTAACAGTAATACAGAGACATAAACAGGATGTCCGTGGGCATTTTGAGGGCAGTGTGCTCTACCTTTGAGTAGCTAAGGGCTTTGAAAGGCAGATAAAGCTGAAGTTTACATAGACTGCGAGGGAAGTGCCACTAGGATCTTTGAAAATTTGGTTGTCCTAAGTCTGTGACATCAAAGAGCACCAATCTTGAGGTCAGTCAGCTCTGGGTTCTAGTTTAAATCTACTGGTACCCTATGGGCCTGTTTCTTCAGCCATGAAATGGGGATAGTAAAGCTTTCCTTGGAAGTTATGGGAATTGAGTGATGGAGAGAATGCAATATAAATTTCCTGTCTGGCACGGCATGTGAACACTGCCACCAACAGCAATGTCTGTCATGGAACCTTGCAGACACACTCAGAAATGTGGGACTTCTGGATCTAAACAGGACACAAGAGATGAAGCATCTGACAGGCAGCACCCGAATTTACCATACAAGGCCACCTTGGAACATTCAGTGTAAAACGGAAACAGGTAAAGGGACTGCTCTGTTGGGAGAGGGAATCCTCTGCACGTGGCTGAGCTGTGCTCAGCTCCATCAGCCATGGGTGGGGGCCGCCTTTACAAAAGACAGACAGTCAGCTGTTAAAGGACTGGAGGCATCATTGTCACACCCAAGCAGCCCAGCATGTAGCAATCCATATGACTCTGGGTGAGCACAAGGAGGCCTGCAAATCACAGAAGTGATGGGCAAAGCAAGGCTCTGGCAGCCAGAAAGTGCTGAGCTCATCATGTAATTTGCAACCCCAGAGTCTAACAGCACACCAATAAAACATGCAGCACACAAAATGGTCCTTTAGAAATATGTCACTAGTAACATACATGCCATCTCATCAAAAGCCAAACTTATGCTGAGAAAAATTCCACCTTTCTGTGTTAATTGCTCTACAGTTTCCTGGATGACAAATATCAAACTGTATTCATTATGGAACGTATGGAAAATAAGTATTTAAAGTAGAAATAACAACAATAATAATTCTGCTTTCTACAAACACCATCAGTATTTTAGTGTATTTCCTTAGTCTTTTCTATTTAGACATGCAAACAGATGTGAAAGTTTAGTCATATTTTTATATACTTGAGATTATATGCAGTATTGTATCCTGATTTTTTCCACTTCCTTCATAAGTGTTTTTCCATATCATTAAAACCTTTTATGGAGTTTCTTTATCCTATGTATACAGTGTAATTTACTTACACATTCCTTTATATTTAAACATTGAGGTTGCTTTTACTTCCCGCCATTGTAAAAACTGCTGTGATAAACATCTTTCTGCATAAATCTTTATCCCAATTTCTAATTATTTCCTTAGCCAGATTCCTAGAATGGGAATTTATCAAGCAGAGTACAGAGATTTTTAAAGTCCCTGATATATTTTGGTAAACTGGAAAACATACTTTTCATTTCATGTAAATTTCCTTTTTAAAAAAATAGTTACTTTAGAATAGAACAAGATGAGTGGGATTTAGGGTCTAAATAGAGAGAAAGAGGCCCTCGACAATATAGCGCCAAGCAGAGTAGGCTAGTAGCCCCTAGAAAAATGAATCTGGAAAGAATCTGAAGTGGGCTTTGGCAGAGGGAGAGAGTTCATATTAATGAGAGCAGCTGGGGCTGGTTTTATAGGGAAGGTGAATTCTGAACTGGGCCTCACAGGCCAGATAGGTTTTCAACAGGGGAACCAAGAATTAAGAGGAAGGAGGGGCAGCCCAGGCAAAGAGCTGAAACAGGGATTCTGGAAGCATAAGCAGAGAGGTGAAGTGTGAGAGGCTGGGAGCCTGAGTGTGGTGTCCCTCCTGAGTCACTCTGTCTGCCTCTGCCTCTCGCTGGAGACTCTAGACCGCCCCAGTGGCATGGAGTGCCCCACACTTACATTGTCTCCCGCCTTTGTGCTTTCCTTAGCCTGCCCCTTGGCCCAGTCTCCAACCTCAATAATCCACTCATCCTGCAAGTCTCAGTGCAGGTACCCCTTCCATCATGCAGCCCTCCTAATTCATGCCTGGACTCATGTCCATTCACACCCTGTCTCCAGCTCGGGGTGGGGGCTGGGGCTGGCTGTCTCTGTTCTCAGCCTGAGGCCAGAGTCTGTTCCAATGAGGTGCTCAAAAAGTGTCTGTAGAATCCTTTTAGAAATGCCTACTGAGCCAGAAATGATGCAGAAAGAAGGGAGAGGCTGATAATGGGCACTGTGCTCATGGGGGATGGGTGGGAAGGAGCCCTTGCAGGTAATAGAGAGGAGAGGCATTCAGAGAGACCAGAGGAATATAATAAACATTATACAAGATGATTATATAGGAGGCACTGTAACTCCTTCTTAGATTCTACTTTCATGCATAGCCCCCAAACTGGCTGTAAAGCAAATCCTCAGAGTGCTTGTTAAATACCCAGATTCCTGGGCCCTACTCCCACTCTGAGAATTAGTGCTTTTAACAAGCTGCACAGGGGATACTGCTGTGAGTGATCCTTTGGCTAGCATTTGGGGACTGTGGCACGGCAACTATAGGGTCTGCTAGCATTTTCAGTTTTTTTAGAAGAATGTTTCCCAATCTTGCTTTAGGGAGCACTAGTTCTGAAAAGTACTAACAGATCTTAAACAAAGAGTTCCATATGGTAAGAACAAGGTATTTCTCTTTCTTGTAGAATCACAATGCACATGGACATAGTAAAGCCTCTGAAAAGCCCTGCAGTAAAGAAACGACTTTAGGTGTGCTTCACCTCAGCCTCCCTGAACCCTTCTAATCTGGAAGCAATGTTCCATCAACTCGCTTCCCCAGGAGACCCTGCCATAGGAAACTCTGCAGATGACCTGCAGGAATCTGCATGCCCACTGCTGCCTGGTGCTCCTGCTTATTTGCACGAAAGGGTTAATGCATTTGGCCCCTGACACCAGGGCTGTTCATACTCTGAAATCACAGCCAACAAGGTTTTATCAAACACCAGGAAATGACAACACTTCCTGGCTTACACATCTAGGCTTGCAAATTAAGAGGATAATCCAAACCAACTTCAAATTCCCTTAAAAATAGGTTTCCTCTTCTGAGTGAACCATTGAGTAATTCTGCTATAAAAAAAGTCTTAGTCTCTTTGTTCAAGTTTTATAATGTCATATTTTACATTCAAAAAGGCTAAGTCTTTTAAAAGAAACCCAGCAGCCCTCATCAGTTTATCCCTGTGTGACCCTGACTGTAATCCATGTCATTAGAACAAGTCACAAGGGTAGGTAAACTTCTTGGAGGGGAAAAAAGAAATCCCAGATTAGCAGAGCAATTTACAGGTGGTGGTGGCAGATTGTCTAATCTGAACTTCAACCTCAGAAGTGTCTTCCCAAGCAGGCAGCCCTTAAATTCCTTGACTGTGCCCAGAGGGTTGGATTCAAGTTCTCTGCAGCTGTGACTACCCGACCTACTTCAGTTCTCACAGAATCCCTCACATCTCATTCTCCTACAGACGAGGGGGTCAGTACCCACCTGCAGGGGTTGGGGAGAGTGCCTTGCCATGGTCTGGGCCTTCCATCTGGGGTGGAGATCTGAGCAGTTCGCTGTGATGATGCCTGCGATGGAAACATATGGGCTCAGGGTATGTCTGTCCTCCAGCCCTCAAAGCAACCCAGGGATTTTCAGATTTTTGTCTCAACCTGCTTTTATCTACTTTAGTTCACTCACTCCCCAAATATCCGTTGAGGGCCTACTCTGTGGCAGGCATTGCCAAGTGCTGGGACAGAAAAGCAGGTGGGTCTTCATGGAGAGTCCTGTCTAAGACAGTTCACGACTTTCCATGTGACATGTGTGAAAGCAGGGAAATTAATACATTTCTACTCTTGTAACATTTCCTTCAATATTTCTCACTTAAAAAAAAAAGGAGTCACTGTTGAGTAGGGGTTAAGGACATGGGCTACTGAGTCAGATAGACTTGAGTTCAAGACACATTTTCATTTGAGAAGCAGGGAAAACACCTACTTTTAGACTCTCGTGAAGGTAAATGAGCCACGCACACGAAGCACTGGCATAGTGCCTGGCTCACAGTGAGGTCCAAGAAAAGCTGCCCACTCTGATTAGAAACTAGTGCTTTAGACGGCAATAGAGTGGCGGCCAAGAGCCAGGGCTTGCAGCCAGATGGCCTGGGTTGGATCTCAGTTCCTCTACCAGCTGGCTGTGTGACCCTGGGTGGGTGATTTCAAGTCTCTATGTGGATGGTGCTGCATCTGCCAGTGAGGAATTATGACAGTGTCCACCTCGGACGGGTGGTTATGGAGATTAAAGGGGTTAATACGCACAAAGTGCGCCGGGCATTTCAAAGATGATTAGACTTGCACAAATTTGCCATGCCGCCCTTCTTCAGCAATCTATCTTCTGCGAATCATGAGGTACCTATATATTCTTTTATCAAACACAGGCAATCACTATTCACCCTGTCTTGTATCAAATTGATCTTCCATCTTCCACTTCCTGTATTATGCATTTACTAGAGCTGTGTTTAGGGGGCAGTAGTGCCTGGTGGAAAAAGCCAGAGTGGGTGGGTTTAAGCTCAGGCTTTTCTGCTTGAATGACCCCGACACCCTGTGGCACTGATAATCTCTGAGCCATGTGGACCTCATCTGTTAATTGGTCATGAAAGTTAATGCTGGCCTTATCTACAATAAGTATTCCAAGATCATGAATGAAAAACTGCTTCTGGCTTGCCAAATGCTGGGGAAGTGGCCTGCTGCTGATCATAATTGGGAAGGGGCACAGTGTTAAGTTCTAGAATTAGACTGTTTGGGTTGGAATTCTGGTTCTAACTAATAGCCATGGAGTCTTCGTGTCTCTAGTTTCCTTATCTATAGAATGAGGGATGATGACAGAATCTACCCCAGAGAGCTGTCATGAGGATTAATTGAAACGCTTAGCCCTGGCCCATACACAGAAAGAGCCCAATAAATGTTAGCTGTTATTATAGTCTATCTTCCCACCAGATTGTGAATAGGGACCCCACTGAATTCACTTTTATATTCCTAGCACCTTAAGGAGAATAAGGAGAATGCTCCTTAAGTCTGCTGAATTCAGGAATGATGGAAGGAGTGGATGAATGAATACGTTTAACCTGCTTCAAAGCCCTTTCAGATTATCTCAGAGATTCAGCAGAATCTTCTTAGAGCCTGGCTGGACTCAGTGTTTTCATTATTGTTTTACTGCTCTGGTTTTGGTGAACTTCATTTCTGATGATTCACCCCTGGGTTGCTATGGGCTTTCATATCAGACTGAAGTAGATTGAGTCTCACCTCCACTTTCTAACTGTAGGACTTGAAGTATCCTACGACCCTTTCTGAATCTCCATGTCCTCACTTAGAAAATAGGGCTAAACCCACCTACTTCTCGGAGTTACTGAGCTTACTAGATATACATGAAAGAGCTTGGGACTCATAGTGGGTGATCAGTAAAAGGTGGTGATTGTCATTTTCTTACCTTGAACGTCCTAGTTCAGGTTGACCCTACTTTGAATATTAGCTGGGTTGCTGAACTTTGTTGCGGAAATAATTACTTTCAATATAACATGCGTTTTCCAGGGACTTCCACTGTGCCTCCATGGGGCATGACCTTTGCTGCTTCTTGCTGCCTGCCTGAATGGCACCTTGGGCCTCTGGACTGCTCTCGGGGGCATGTTCTTGGTGTCCTCAGCAGCCCCACTGGTCTTCAGGAAAGCCCCATTGGAGGGTAACTGTGGCAGGTTTAAAGCCAGCCACATCATGTTTCCAGCCTGCAGATCCCTGTTTTTGAAGGTGGCCGTAAGCATGGCTTCAGGGCTCCACAGATGGGAGCTCCATTTCCTGTTTATTTGTGTGTGACTGTTATCAACTTAGCCTCTTTGAGCCTCAGTTTCTTTATCTGTAAATTGAGGACAACTGCAAGGGGGGTGCACGAGAGAGTGATGATGATGATGATGATGATGGATTATATCAAATGGCATGTGACTAGGGCCTTGCCCACAACACAGGGAAAAGGTGAGTGAAATGTGTTATCAAATGTCCTAAAGGCATGGAAGTTGGCCTAGATTTTAAAAATTAGAATAAAAATAACAATCTTATGAGGAAAGAAGGAATCCTCAATAAGCTCTACAGTGAATTTACATTATAGAGATGTTTGTTACTATGGACTTTATCAAGAGGACATTAAATGGAGCAAAGGATGGGGTGGATTTCTACCATGCTTCTAAAACCACCTGACTTTACAATTATAACTGGATTTTCAGTCTTAAGAAAACCTCAATTTTGATAATTTTAGGAAAGCGTTAGTAATCAAACACAAATGCAATTGGTATATTTTGGAGACAAAACTCACTCAAAATAATAATTTTAAAAATCTGAATCAGCATTTGATAAAACTGTGTTGACTATATCAGTGATTCTCAATTTTGGTTGCACAAAATACATCTGGAACCTTTATGAAAATAGCAATGTTTAGAGCCTAATCCAGACAAATCAAAATCTCTGGGATGGGTGGGAAGAAGTGAGCATTTAAAAAAGCTTATTAAGTGATTTCTGCAGCCAGAGTTGAGACCACTGGTTTAAGTGCATCTTGGTACTGATCATAAGCTTAATTCATATATTTGGCAGCTGAAACTGTGGGCTAGCCATAGATTAGCATCACCAGGGAGCTTTAAAAAATCCTGATGCCCCAAGCCAGACCAAGGACATCTTAGTTTCTGGGGTGAGACCCAGACATGGGTACTTTTGAAAGCTCCCTGGGTGATTCCAGTGTCCAAGCCAGCACTGAGAAACACAGGAATAAAGGAGTTATTTAAACAAATTAAAAAGAGGCCAGTTGTGGTGGTACATGCCTGTAATCCCAGCACTTTGGGAAGCTGAGGTGGGTCAGTAGTTGGAGACCAGCCTGGCCATCTCTACTAAAAATACAAAAACTTAGCAGGGCATGGTGGTGTGTGCCTGTAATCCCAGCTACTTGGGAGGTTGAGGCAGGAGAATTGCTTGAAGCTGGCAGGTGGAGGTTGCAGTGAGCCGAGATTGCACCACTGCACTCCAGCCTGGGCACCAGAGCTAAATTCATAAACTTGGCAACTGAAGCAGTGGGCTAGCCATATATCAGAATCACTAGGGAGCTTTTTTTGAGACCTTGTCTCAAAAAAAAAAATTAAAAAGAAAACGAATGCATTCCGTAGAATATTAGCTCACCCCTATATTTTGCCGCCGAAGTGCAAGTGAATAGTACAATGGCCAACTCCTGTTTATCCACCAATGGCTTATCTGTTCTGAGGACAAATTATGGGACAGCATTAGGGATTCAGGGAAGGTAGCTAACATTATTAAGTACCTACCATAAAGCAGGTGTTTTGCCTACATCATCTCATTTAATTCACATGGAATCCTAGTGAAGTGGGTGATGTCATTTCCATTTTATTAGGTGGGAAATTGAACTCAGGGAGGCTAAATCACTTACATCAAGTCATTCAGCTAGTAAATTTGGCTCTAAAACCCATGTCCTCGGCTACACGGCTTCTCACAGGGTGGAGGAGAAAGCGTCTGTTTCTGCCTACATATTAACGCTAAATCACTTGTTGGATGATCTATTCGCTTGCTTTTATTCCCCCTCTCTTAGCCTAGATAAATGAGAAATGACTTCATGACTCATTCTAAAAGGATGATCTAGGTGTCAATTTATTCCTTATATAATTTTCAATATGAGTTTTTGTTTATATTAATGGGTAGTTGAAAAAAGTAAAGAAGAACACGTGTCTGACAATTATTTTATAATGGCTCGCCTTTTAATTTGGCAACAGGCGCCAGATGTGGTGGCTCATGTCTGCAATCCCAACACTTTGGGAGGCCGAGGCGGGTGGATCACCTGAGGTCAGGAGTTCAAAACCAGCCTTGACTAAAATGGTGAAACCCCATCTCTATGAAAAATACAAAAATTAGCTGGGCATGGTGTCATCTGCCTGTAATCCCAGATACTAGGGAGACTGAGGCAGGAATATTGCTTGAACTTGGGAGTGGAGGTTGCAATGAGCCGAGATGGCACCATTGCACTCCAGCATGGGCCACAAGAGCAAAAGTCCATCTCAAAAACCAAAAAAATTGCCAACAGGTTCTGAAGCAACACTGTAACTGCTGAATGCTTCTGGCTGGTTCCTTCCCCAGTAAAAGGTAAGTAAAAAGAATCAGGATATAAAAACGAAATGATTACCTCTACTAAAAAGGTAAACTTTTTCTCCCAAGTGATTTTTGAAGACAAGTATAAAATGAAAACCAAAACACTTTATGAACAGGACTGTCAATCATTTCACCTCATTCCTTGTGCCTCCCATTTTCTGCCAATCCTAGTGGTTCCAAATAGACAAAAAACACAGCCCACAATTTGCAATCCCTTCCAGCAGAGCTGGTTGTCATTAGTGATGAGGCAGCCCCCGTCACAATCCCAGCAGCCAGGATAGGTGGGACTTCCTGCAATTCCCCTTAAAGTCTGCAGACACAAGCTGGTGACCCACTGCCTTAACATGCAGGGCTGGCTTGGGGTTTTAAACAGTTATATGACTTACACTGAATACAAATAGCAATTGCAGAAGAAAAAATTATCCTGAGTAACTGTTTCTAGATTTATAGAAATCTTTTTTTTTTCCTATTTCACATAAAAGTCTGGGTTTATATAAAACCCAGGAATTGTACAATGTAAAAAGATGGCTTAATATATAGATGCAGTTTTCACCCTAGACAATGATAAAAATAACAAAAGGTCCCACCTACTGAAAATTATTATGTAGTTCTGGGTCAGGAAAGTTATTTACATTTAAAAAAGTCATTCATTAGGTTTTGCAGTTTCCATTTTGCAAGTGAGAAATATGTCTCGGAGACAGCAAATCACTTGCTCAAAGTTACACAGCTACTAAGTGGTGGTGCTAGACCCCAGTGCTACAGTCGTCTGAAATAAGGTTGAGTGTTTCCACAAGCGCATCTGAAAGGACAGTGTTTTGTGATTTTTCTGCTCAGGGACTGCTCTAAGAATGTGAATTTGTTGGTCTCTCTCCCCCTAAGTGAAGCTGCTTCTCAGATCTGTGCTGAAAAGGCCTGGCAGAACCCCAGCCTCACAATCTGCCCTACCTTTTACCCTGCAGGCTCTGCAGACGTCTCCCGTGGGCCCTGGTCATCACACAGGAGAGTGACTACCATTACCTCAGCACCTTCACTGTCTCCATCCACTGTGCCTGCTCACTCTCCCAGGGGTCCACTCGGATCCAGTTGGATGTCTGCAGGGCCAGCTGGGCCATGGCCACTCGGTGATGAGAAGCTGCGAGGTCTTTCTTCCCATAGTTGTCATTGACAGGAGAGATGATACCCTGGATGACCTGGTACATTCCTAGGTAAGAGAGAGCAGTGGTGTTGCACATACAGACAGATGCTCACCATTTGGCAGTCTGAATTCAGGCAGGTGCTAAATCTCTCCAGTGCCTCATCCTGAGTGGGAGTGGAGTCTGGCATTCTCTCATGGGGGAGGAAGGGTGGCTCCTTTAGGCAAGAGTAAAGGCACTACCTTAGGATGACCACGTGCTTCTCCTCTAGAGCCTTCTACAACCCAGAGTAGCACTGCGAGGAAGGCTTCTCTGCTGAGAGAAAGGCTGTGGAGGTGGAGCTCAGGCAAGGTCCCATACAGCAGTGTGGACAGTTAGGATCAGGATATAGTTGAGGAGCAGCATGACTTCCCCTTCTATAGAAATTAACAGAGGCACTATTTTTGCTCTCTCTCTGAGGATGAAAATTATATATAGTTTCTTAGCCCAAATGGGGATTTTGAGGATGAAGGACAAAGAATGGGATTTTAGCATGAACCAGGGTTGGTGGGTATTGGCTGTAGATGAACTGCACAGGCCACCACTGACCTGGGAGGAATGTGCTGCTAATGGAATGGGAAAGTGTACTTTGGAGCAGACATGGACTGTGCTTGCTAACAGTGATAACTGCCCTGTAGATTTTCTAAACCCACATGGGGTTCATCTGGTGAGAGATCAATTTTCATGTGTTAAGTTCCTAAAACTGGAGAGTTTATTATTGCAGCTAGCCTAGTCTATCTTGACAAATATGTTATTTTGAGACATTCCCTGTTATTCCTAGTTTGAGTGCCTGCCATAAATGTTGAATTTTATTAATTTTTTTTCTGTAACTCTTGATTGTGTGATTTTTTTCCTTTACTCAGTTAATATGGTAAATTGCATTGATTAAATTTTCTAATCTTAAACTAACACTGCATTCCACAGATAAACCCGATTTGGCAAAGATATATTACCTTTTTTGTGTATTGGTGAGTTCACTTTGCTAATTTGTTTTTTAGGTAGTAAGACAGGTCTATAATTTTTCCATTCTCTCACTGTCCTAATCAGGTTTTGGTATCAAGGTTATTCAAGCCTCATAAAAAATGTTGGAGAGTTCTCTCTTTTTCTATGCTGTAAGAGATCTTGTGTGTTAGGACTGAAATAACTTTCTTTTTGAGACAAAGTCTTGCTCTGTCACCCAGCCTGGAGTGCAGTGGTGCAATCGCAGCTCACTACAACCTCTGCCTCCTGGGTTCAAGCAATTCTTCTGTCTCAGCCTCCCGAGTAGCTGAGACTACAGGTATGCAACACCATGCCCGACCAATATTTTTTATTTTTTAATTTTTAGTAGAGACAGGGTTTTGCCATGTTAGCCAGGCTGGCTCCAACTCCTGACCTCAAGTGATCCACCCATCTTGGCCTCCCAAAGTACTGGGATTACAGGCATATGCCACTGTGCCCAGCCTGAAATAACATTTTTGTTGTTGTTTTTAAGTGTTTTGTAGAACTCACCAGTGAAGTTTTGTGAGGCTAGATTTTGTTTAATTTGTGTTGCCACTGACAGGAGAGATGATACCCTGGATGACCTGGTACATTCCTGGGTAAAGGAGAGCAATGGTGTTGCACATACAGACAGACGCTTGCCACCTGGCAGCCTGAAGTCAGGCAGGTGCTAAATCTCTCCAGGGCCTCATCCTGAGTGGCAGTAGACTCAGCAGTCAATTTTTTGACTACTGATTTAATTTCTTTAAGGATTATAATTTAGATTTTCACTTCTTCATTTTGATTTTGGCAACTTACGTGTTCCAGGATTTTGTCCATCATACCTAAAATTTGAAATTTCTTGGCATAAAGTTCTTTATAATATTCTTTTATCCGTTTAATGTCTTTTATCTGTACCATCTGCAGTGATGCCCATTTTCATTCCTAATGTTGGTTGCGACTTCTTTCTTTTTCCTTGGGCAATATTGCTAGAGGCTTGTCATTTTATTAGTTGGTTCTTTTCAAAGAACCAACTTCTGGCATATTGGTTTTCTCTACTGAAGGTTCATTTTCTGTTTCACTAATTTCTGGTCTCCTTTTTAATCATTCTAACCTTCTACTCTATTGGTGTTATTTTGCTATTCTTTTTCTAACTTCTTGTGATGTATGTCCAACTAATTAATTTGCAGTCTGCCTTATTTTCTTGAGAGCTTGTCTGGAGGTTCTAGCAGGGGAGGGCAGCTACTTGTACACCCTTGACTGAAGTTCTCCTCTATTGTGGATGGTCGTCCTCTTCGACCAAGGGTGCAGCTTCTGGAAGGACGCACATTGAGCAGGGAGGGAGGAAGGGGACACCTACCCCGCCAGCCAGATCAGCTGAATCAACATTGGTGATCAGCGGGGTGACAGATGTCTCAGCCAGATCGTCCTCACATCCTTATTTCCTACTATATACAGTTCAGGCTATAAAATTGCCCTAGAAGCAATCCCACAAATTTTGATATGTAGTGTTTTCATGATCATTTAGTTCAAAACATTTTCTAATTTCTATTATGATGCCTGTTTCGATCCATGAATTATTTAGAAGTATTTTTTTAGCTACCAAACATAGTGTGATTTTTGGTTATCTTTTTGTTATTGACTTCTAGCTTAGTTGCATTGTAGTCAGAGAATATGCTCTATATTGATTCAATCTTGTGAAATGTGTTGATATTTGATTTATGTCCCAGTGTATGGTGAGTTTTGGTAAATGTTCTATGTGTGCTTAAAAAGAATGCGTATTCTATGGTTGTCAAATGTAATGTTCTGTCCATTCAGTTAAGATTACTAATTGTTTTGCTTAAATCTATGTTCTGATTTTTTTTGTCTGCCTTTTTTGTTAGTCATAAACAAAGGTATGTTAAAATCTCTCATTATGATTGCGGATTTTTTCATTTTTCTTTTTAGGACTTCCGCTTTTGTTTCATGCATTTTCAGGATTGTTTTTTTAGCTCAGAATATGACCTATCTTAGTGAATATTCCATAGGTGCTTAAAAATATATTTTCTGCTGTTGGTGGATGGAAAGTTGTATCACACATCAATTTAATGCTGTTGTTGAGTGTCTTTAGTTCTTTATCTTCGCGGATTTTCCGTCCAGGAGTTCTGTCTAGCAGTAGTAGTTGCCAGTTGTAGGGTGTTGAAGTCTTTACCTGTAATTGCACATTTGTCTGTTTTTCCTCTCAGCTCCATCAGTTTCTGCTCCACGTATTTTGGGATCCTCTTTTTGGTGTACATACATTTAATGGACTTTCAATGAACTTCTAATTTTGTTTATTTAGATCATAATTTCTTGAAATTTTGATGAGTTTTTCATCAAATCTGCTAGGTGACTTTCTATAGTTTCTTTTTTTCTTTAGCTATAAATGCTCCTTTTAAAATCTGTATCTGACAATGCCAGTTTCAAAGTCTGTACCGGTCACTTGTGTTGTCTGTTGTTCTGATAGTTCTTAGCTATACTGTTTTTTTGTGTGCCTAGTTATTTTTGAATGTTTTCTTGTGAATGCCCTGAGTAGTTATTTGTGAAAGACCCTCCAGATCTAAGGTAGATATTCCAGAGATACTTCATATTTGCTTTTGCCAGGCACCTAGAGTTATTAAAACTCATGAATAATCTGAAATCAAATTCCTGGCTTGAACTTTTTTGGCTAATCCAGGCTGGGAGTTTCAAATCTGAGCAAGGACTCATGTGTGGCTGCTTCTTACTAGGGATATTTTATCCTTTCATTAGTCCTCTAGGATTAGGAGGAAAAGATGAATTAAGATCTAGTTCACCTCAACCCTTAGGATATAACTCCTGTGGGTCCAGCTTAACGTGGGATAAGTCAACTCTGAGGCCTCTCAGTTTGGAAGGGACCCAGCCTCTGAATTCTGACCTTCCCAACTTGTGTGGCTGCTGATTCAAAGCATAAGTGAGCAGTTCTGGCAAGTGCTCACAGGGCACCAGTGGCTCTGGCGCTCCCATAGCCTGCTCACCTCTCTGGTTACAGCTTTTTAGCTTTAAAAGTAAAGTTTGTTAAAGACAAGCAGAACAGAAAACCAATGCTGCATGTTCTCACTTATAAGAGGAAGCTACTGACAGGAACTCATGATCACAAAGAAAAGAGCAACACAGCTACTTGAGGGTCTACTTGAGGGTGGAGGGTGGAGGATGAGAGAAGCAGAGAAAATAACTACTGGGTAACAGGCTTAATACCTGGGTGGGAAATAATCTGTACAACAAACCCCCTGTGACATGAGTTTACCTACACAACAAACCCTCATAGGTACCCTTGAACCCAAAATAAAAGTTAAAAAAAGGTGAAGTGTGGAAAATGTTCTACCCACCACTTTTTGTTGCTGTAATGGGAAGGTTGATCCTAAGAGTGTAGCCTGTCCCCCTGGAAACTGGAAGCATTTTCCATACATGGTAATCCTGGCAGGCCTAGGCTCTCCTTCCTGGGGTACCCCCTCCTTCAAGGGGATGACAGAACCCAACTGAGAGCAAGGAGGTCATATTCAGTTTTTGACTCCCACAGCTGGCTCTTGAAACTCATTTCAGAGGTAATGCTTGTGAAGGTTAAAGCTTTCATTTATAAGGGCCAGGCTATATTGAGAGAGAAAAGGTTTATTTAAGTTCCAAAAGTTACTCTTAAAATAATCAAGAACTAGAAAACTCAGGGAATCAGAGTGCACAGTTTCACTAAAGCCCACAGAGCAGTGAAAAGAAAAGAATGTGAAAATGAAAACAAAAGGCCCTCTTCGGCCTGAGGGTGAGGTGAGGTGGAAGAATGGGCAGAAGGGCAGAGAAGAGCCTCATAGACGAGGTCTGTGGTGACAGTTTAGACAGGCATTTGGCCTGCTCCCTATACTCTCATATCCTGCAGAGATAAAACTCATTTGTATTAGGATTTGGGAGGGCATAGTTAAGAGGTCCAGTTAAGTCTGGCAATGGTAGAGAAGTGGGGTTTATATTTTGCTTCCCACCTGGAATTCTGGAAGACCGCCTTGCATTGCCCTGTGCCAATATGGAACGGCACTGACAGAGTAGA